TAAGGATGCTAAAACTTATCTCTCAAGTAGATTTAATCTATCTAACTTCACTTGCTCGACAAGGTTTACTAAAAATGCTCTCGCTATCTCTAGTCAAATGAACCTAATAGCATAGAATGACACATCATCTCCTCTCAGTCTCAACTATGGCAGCCTACACTATTGATAAAAACTACCCCTCTTAGTCGTTGAAATCATATATTAGTATCTCTCAAGCACTAAGGGATTAGGATATAGTATTACTATACCGGTTCAAAGCTTAAGAAAATACTACACCCCATTGCTTATGTGAATCTTACTTGTGTTTCTCTCTCGAACACCTAGCCTTCATCTAAATAATGGACACTCTTAAGCCTCCTACAAACTTAGATATGAAGCATTCATAAGCAAAACAAGTAAATACAAAATATTAATATAAATCTACCATTAAAATAATGTTAAACATCCATAAAATCAACCCCACCAAATAAGGTTAGTTCATGGTGGGGTTCGAATCATCCATGAAACAAAACATGAATTTTATCCGTTTCAAACAACCCAATATCAAATGGAAAAATAGCATCAAAGGGGAAGGGATAAGAAGCCTTAAACGCGCGCAGTCGGAGCTCTCCTCAACCACTATGACTTGCTTTAGTTTGCTAGCTCCTCTCGGATGCTTAGCTTGCCACTCCTTGGAGCTCATAAATGGAGGAACGCCTCTAGAGAATGAAAAAAATGATACGGAGAAGAAGGTAAGAAAATCTAGCTGAAGGTGATTGATTCTCCTCTTTCTCTCTCATATGCAGTGTATATAATAATGTAATATCTAAGGGTAACAATGGGTTTTAACTTTCTAATTACCCATCATACCCCTAGAATCACTCCTCAGGCGTGAATCTTATCCTCCCAGGTGGCAGTGGTCCCCAGCAGGCGGTTATAACCATCAGACACGTGCCTTACGAGCTGTCCTTTTACAATAAATCTTTTTGTCCTTGTTTGCTCCAGAAATGCCAAGACATTTCAATCTACTTCAGCAACATGTGATGTCACGACATTCCTTCCAGTGCAACCTTTTTCTTATTATTTCCTGCACAACATAAACAACTGCAACTTTCCCTCACACAACATCTTTACAAGATAAAATAGCAATATCGCCTCTAATGCAACTTTATACAACTACATAATCCTAAAATGACTAAAATGAGCTTTTAAACAAATAATAACTTAAGTGAAAAAGACTTTAAAGGTATCATTTTTAGGAAGTTATCATTTAGGCATATTACTTGTGCTATCCTAAGGACATCAGTTGTTCCACCAGCCATAACAACACCTCTAGCCCCACCCGTTGTAACACTGCAAGAGTCCCCGATAGAAAGGCTCTGCAGATATAAGACCATAGATTTCTATGATTACGAGAATGATGACCCTATAACGATCAATAAATGGATCAAAAAGACCCTTTAAATGTTTCTTTAGTTGCATTTTACCCCTAAGGTAAGCTTGAGTGTGTCACAGCCCTACTAAAGGGCGACACTATATATTGGTGAGAGACGATTGAGATGGAGTTAAAGCTAGAAAGACCGATATGGGAGTACTATTTCTTTGAGTTCTGCCAAAAGTATATCAGGGAGGTTCACACCAATGATCTAAGGGATTAGTTCATGCATCTGGTTCAGGGTGACCAGTCGGTATATGCATACGAGTGTGAGTTTTTTATTTAGAGTAGATATACGTCGGAGTTGGTATCAACTAAGGACCACTACTACTAGAGATTCAGAGAGGGAATGTATCTCAATATTCTCACACATTTAGTTACTGACCCTACTATAATTTTTCCGAGTTGACCATGTGAAGTCACTTGAAAAGGTTCAAAACATGAGAGCTAAAATATATAGCATATCAATAGGAAAGAGTAGGAGAGCTCATAATCCAATAGATCTTTGCAGACTTTAGCCAAGAGGGCCATAAACTCTTAAGGATCTTAAAGGCCCCCAACAAGCCGGTCTAGAAGGCCTGGACAGAGTACAGACCATGGGGGTAGATCTGAGCCTCGTAGTAGACCCTTATCATCGGCTTTTAGGGAAAACACCAATGGTTTCGTGAGGACCCCATCTCATTCACTCTTCTCAACCTAAGAATCATCTTAGAGTTTATCGGTGGGGGTTCATGGGTTGCTTTAGCTTTGGGTCTTATTTTGGGATATGAGGTCAAGGCTGACACCTTATTTTCTTCACTCTTTTGTCTTCATTTCATATCTCTATTTCTCTCATTTTCCTCTTAACTTAGATTCTTTAAAGGTGAGGACTTTATAGTGTTGTGACCTTTGGATGAATTAAATAAGGTAAGAATCAAAATTTCCCTATCTAGAGCTTTTATTCGAGCTTTTGATCTCAAGTTATAATGGTGGCCATTGATGAGGGTTTAGGAACCCTTGCCAAACCATCTTGTTTTTGGTGGTTTATAGCTTTAGGGAAACCATCTTAGCTTCCTAAGTGAGTTAGTAACTCATTTTCCTTGCTTGTGATTAATGAAAGAAGTTGGTGAGTGCTCTAAGGGTAAATGTAAGAAAAAAAAACTAGTTATTGATTGAGCTTTAAGTTATTCTAGCAACTTTGAATCAACGAAATACATTTTTAACTCATCTGTACCACTTGTATGTCACTATGTGTGCTAGATTAGCTTGTATAAGTTCATAGAGCATGTAAGTGCATCCATAGTAGATTATGACTTCTGATGTTATACAAAATTAAAAATGACTCCTTATGACCCCTATAAGCTTATATAAGATTCAAATAACATTTAAGGGCCTTAAAGAGGCAAATGGGTAAAGTTGGGTATTATTTTTTAGTTAAAACAGGGTAATTCTAGGCTCGAGTATCGATACTAGATGAAAAGTACCAATATTATTCTTCAAATAGCCAAAATATAATGCTTTTGGCTGGGTTGTATCGATATTATTCTTTGAGTATCGATACCCAACGGAGGGGTATCGATACCCAACGGAGGGGTATCGATACCCAACGGAGGGGTATAGATACCATCTTCGAGTTGCAAATTCCAACAACCTAAATTGGTACGATACTCGAAGAGTATCGATACTACTTAAATAAAAAGTATTAATACCTTAAGTAAATGTATCAATATTGAATTATTTTTCAAACATCAAACCTAGTTTTGGTATCGATACCTTAGTAGAGAAATATCAATAGTCTTCATAAGAGTATCGATACTATAATCATTCCTCATATTCCAATAGATAGTTTTAGTATTAATTCTAGTGGTAGGTATCAATATTGAAGGGTCGGTGTTGATACTAAAAGGCTAGCATTGTTACCATCGCACAATTTTGGGCAAGGGACATAACTTTGAAATATAAAGGATTGAGAAAGGGTTTAAGACTGTCAATACTCCTCTATTAAAGTTCTAAGTGAGAACAGTTGAGAAATACAACAAAAACATAACAAAGCTTGTGACATAAGATGTCACAAAACTAGCATTTGTGTGATCCTCCAGAAATAGTAAGGACACTTGAGTTACTTTAGCATCTCTAAAGGTTGTCTTGTATGAGTAGAATATTCAAATATATCTCAACTAGTGCCAAGGCACTTTAGTTTATAATCGAATACAGATGCCCCAAGTACTCACAAGAAGTAGGTTGACCAAGTGTATATTTCTGAAGCAGAAATTATGGATCTCACCTTAAGTAAAATAGAGGGGTGTGCGTCTCGAGATGCAGCGAACCCTCCGATCACACCGTGATGTCTACCTTAAATGTGTTTAGCATACTTGTATGCTTATGTCTTTACTTGCTAGCACAACCATATAATGAATGCATGTAGTATAGTTCAATTATTAGTTTATGAGCTCAGCGTTTGGAATTTGTTTTCGTACGTAGATTCTTAAGAGGATCATTGATGGGCTTATAGCATAGCTTGCATTCCAGATATACTGAGGCACTGGAGTACGTCTTGAGCCTTTTCAGAGGGCATGTACTATTCATAAACCTTCATGTATTTGAGTCGTAACTCAATTTTAAAAATACTTGGTATGTATTATTTTGGAATGTTTTAGGAGCTCCCCACTGTTACAAACTTGAATGTTTATGTTTTCACGTATAATATTTCCATCGATGTTTTCAATGTCATTTTAAAAGAAAAATTTTGAACTAGCCACTTCGGTGGTCTCGTGTAATACTGTAATCCTTTGATCTTCAAATCAAATCGGATTAGGGTGTTACAGTTTTCATGTATGATTTAAACGATACTATTTTAAATGAGTATTATGATGTTTTTGAAAAGAAATTTTGAGTTAGCTACTTCAGTGATTCTGTGTAATGCTTTAATCCCTCGACATTCGGGTCGGATCAGATTAGGGTGTTACAGGTGTTCTTATTTTTAAAAGAATATTAGTGATAAATTTATTAGTATGATTTTATTTTAAATGAAGTTAAAAGATTTCTTACTAGATTTGTTGTGTGAAATTAACACGAGATTCATTTTCATGAAGTCAAAAAATAGTGAAATAGATATTTTAAAGTCTAATGGTCATCAATGAGAAACTGACAATGATGAGTCATAATCAACGAAGACAGTTATAAGTAATGATCGACGACGAGACACTTTGATCAAATTTAAAAGTTAAATTAATATTTTATCTAAAATACAATGGTTAACATTTTAACTGTCCCACGAGCCTGACCACTGAGGGGGACATAATTAACCATCCGTCTAATGAATCAGTTACTGTCACTATTATAATAATAATAATAATAATAATAATAATAATAATAATAATAATAATAATAATAATAATAATAATAATAATAATAATAATAATAATAATAATAATAATAATAATAATAATAATAATAATAATAATAATAATAATAATAATACATCTTCACATGCAAAAGGAAATGATGCTATTTTTTTCTCAAGCTTGGATTAGTTATGTTGTTTTTGTCTGTTAAAATCTTAAATGGCTAAGGTTCTACTTTACTTTTTATAGTACCGCTATTTTTTTAATTTTATATTCTTTCTCTTGTGTTTTCCTTCAATATTGGAAAAGCCCTTTCTTTTAAAATTCCAATAGCACCAGAAGAGAAGATATAAAAGGTGCCTTGGGAATTCTGGGTTCTGCTTTGTTTGTGATCCAATCAGTTTTTTCTTGGGAAACTTGGGTTGGTTTTGGTTTGGAGAAAGTTGGCTCCCCCCCCCCTTTTTTCTGATAGATGGATGATGAATTTGCTAAGCTTATCAGAAGGGTGAACCAGCCTAGGTATTTTCTCTTCTTTTTTTGTTTTATGAAATTTGTTTTCTGGGTTTTTTATTGGATACTGTAATTTTTTGTTTGAATTTTTTTTTGAAAGGTCCGCCAATTTTTTTATTTTTTCCTTCAAGTTTTTTGTTTTGAAAAATAATGATTTCGCTTTTTGGGCAGTTATCCTTATTATTTTTATAAGAAACAAATCTGATTTTCCCCCTTGGTGCTTCTGCAGATCAGAGTTTAATATCTTCTTCTTAAATTTTCTTTTTTTTTCCTTGGTCTTTCTTTGATTAGTTTGGGAAGAAGTAGAATTAATTTGAGATGAATGCTTATATTTGTTGCAGAGTTGTGATTGACAACAATGCTTGTGAGGATGCCACTGTTATACAGGTATAGTTTCATGGCTCTGCCTTTACTGTAACTTATCATATGCGGCTTATTAGTTCCTTAGATCTCTGTTTCTATCTTAATCATATGCAATAGGATGTCATATTCGGAAATTGGACTTCTAAGATGTTTGAGCTAAAAGCTGAATTGGGATTAAAAAAAATGGTACGGGATTGGTCAAGCCAATGTACCATCAGTTATCGAGCCCTTTCGATCGGTCGAATGGTTTGTTTATTTGTTCAAGACATATAATGGCTTACATATCATTTTTCTGGTTAGGTTGACAGTGTCAACAAACATGGAATTCTCCTAGAAGTTGTCCAAGTGCTTACTGATATGAATCTTACAATAACAAAGGCATACATATCATCTGACGGTGGATGGTTTATGGATGGCAAGTTTTCTTCATCATCTTAAAACTGCTTGAATGATATGTTAAATCCAAACTTAACCAGGTTAGTATATTGACATGTTTCAGTGTTTAATGTTGTTGACAATGATGCCAACAAAATCAGAGATAAGGAAGTAATTGACTATATTCAGAGTGTAAGCGCTTACATCATCACTTACCTCATCCTCATTGTTCAATGCTTTCAACTACTGGCTTATCTTATTTCTTCATAAAGCTTAAATGTTTTGGTGAAACTTTTCATCTTGCTCCTCGAATTGTGCAGAGAATCGAAATTGGTGCTGGCTTCGTGTCTTCCCGTAGAGGCACAGTAGGGGTGATGCCTTCGGAGGAGCATACATCAATTGAACTTGCCGGCACTGATAGGCCTGGTCTACTATCAGAAGTATGTGCGGTTCTTGCGGACCTCCATTGCAATGTTGTAAATGCTGAGATATGGACCCATAATACTAGGGCTGCTGCTGTAGTTCATGTGACAGATGATTCAACAAACTGTGCAATCAATGATCCGAAACGTCTCTCAACGATAAAGGAATTACTTCGTAATGTTCTCAAAGGAAGTGATGACTTGAAAACAGCGAAAACAATGCTTTCAGCTCCAGGTGTTATGCACAGGGAGAGAAGGTTGCATCAAATCATGTTTGCAGACAGGGACTACGAAAGGATCGAGAGGGCAGGAGTTAGGGCAGTAGAGGAGGGGAGATCAAGACCCCAAATCACTCTGTTGAATATCGAAAAAGATTACACTGTTATTACCATGAGGTCAAAAGATCGGCCAAAATTATTGTTTGATATAATTTGCACTCTCACAGATATGCAATATGTTGTTTTTCATGGAATGATTAACACAGGAAGGATCGAAGCTTATCAGGTGAGTTAGTTCTGGTAAAGTAGCCTGATAAAATGACAATAGCAAACCCTTTTTGACAAAACCAGAACATTGGTATTGCAGTCTTACTAGCCTGTTCATATGACACATTGATCAACTTTAAAAAGTTGACAAGTTGGTGCTATTGAAACCACTAGTGGAAGATTGATGCTGACGATGTAATCCAATTTGTATTGGAATTCTACTCGGTCAAGCACAATTTGATATTTGCTCGACTGTAACTTCTTTTTTTCTCCACTTTCCTGCTAATCAGAACTTGTATTTTGTTGTAGGAATTCTATATCAGACATGTAGATGGGCTCCCCATTAGCTCGGAAGCCGAGCGTGTCCGTGTTATTCAATGTCTTGAAGCAGCCATTGAGAGGAGGGGGTCTGAGGTATAAACCATCTCTCCACCACTCCACATGCACACACACTCGCACACGTACGGAACAAATAAAACCAAAAGGAATGTTGAAATGTGATTATGGATGATAAGATGCTTTCATGATTTGGTAACGCAGGGGTTAGAACTAGAATTGTGCACACAAGACAGATTTGGACTCTTGTCTGACATCACTCGAATATTCCGTGAAAACAGCTTGTGTATCAAGAGAGCATTAATTTCAACTAAAGGTGGCAAGGCCAATGATACCTTCTATGTCACGGACGTGACAGGAAATCCAATCGATCCGAAGATCATTGATTCGATCCTTGCACAGATTGGACATACTGCATTACAGGTGAAGCATAACTCGAATCTTGCACCAAAACAACCTCATCAGGAGACAACAGTGGGACATTTCTTTGGAAGCCTATTCAAAGCTCGAACTTTTCAGAATTTCAAGTTAATCAGATCTTACTCTTGATATCACTTACTCATTTAAGTAGGCTATACTTGTACAGGAATATCAGATATCAACCCAAAAGATATACATGGGGAGAAAAGTCTGTAAATATTTAGCTTCCTTCTCCCTTGCTTGGTTACGAATGTTGTGATACTGTAAAGGAAAAGAGAAGGCATTGGCCAGTCGCTATAATGTAGAAGTTGCTGCTGCTACTTGTATATCTTCATTGTATCTCTTGAAACTAATATCAGTACAGTTTAATAATAAACATAGCTAGAAGCTTGTATAGGAAGTGGACTGAAATGAAGATGAAAAGCAAAATGAATAATTTTGTGGGTATGAATATGTATATTAAACCCTCCTTTTTTTCAAGGGTCTATCATGTCACAGTCCATGCTAATCTGCAACATCTGTTGGCTTCGCTTCAGGATTGGGTGCACAAAATGGAAGTCTATGAGATGACAATCTAATTTAAAGCTAAGAAATAATATGGAGGTAATTTAATTTAAGACTTAGGGTGTGTTTGGTTCATGGAATGTAAGATTACTAGTAGGAATAAAAGATTAGCAGGGAATATGATTACTGAGAATGTTGTATTTTGTGTTTGGTTGGTTTAGCAGGAATGTAAGATTATCGTGTTTGGTTAAAGGAATAAAAGATTATTGGAATGTATATTTGACCAAATTGTCCTTATTATATATTTGTATAATATTACAAATTGTAAAATATTTATATATTTTCTTTAAAAAATTAAATTCATAATATTTATATAATTTTTTTTACAAAATTAAAAATATAAAAAAGGTTTAATTAAAGGGTAAAAAAAATTTAATCCTTGAACTTCATATAAAATTTTAATTATAGACTTTTTTTTTGTAAATCTAAAATAATGTAAGGATAAATTTGTACTTTAACCTTCGTAGAATTTTTATTATTCAATGACAGAAGAAGGATGTTTTTGAAAGAAAATAAAAATTTAAGGGCATTTTAGTCCAAAACGCCGGTAATGTTATAATATCTAAGGGAATGGATGTAATGACATTCCCGGTAATATATCACATAAAATCTATTATTGGTAATAAAACATTACCTGGAATGAGATTCCCGGCCAACCAAATATGGGAATGTGGGATTCCCATCCCATGGGAATCCCACAATCCTTAAACCAAACACCCCGTTAAGGAACAACATAGAATAGTGCAACAGAAAATATTATAAAAATCATAATATTTTCAGTTGGGTGTAATTTAAAATGTTAATTTTTTTCATAATATTTTTGGTTGAACCGAAAATGTTACATTCTGTGTAATATTTTTTGTTGACAACTGGAAATATTATCTTTTTCATAATATTTACGGTTGAACCAAAAATAATAAGAAAACTAAAATAAAGTTAATTATCTTATATTAGACTCAATCAATTCAATGGTCTATTTTTCATTATTTTTTAACCTTTAATCTATCCGTCCCCTAAGTTGATATAATGTGAACACGCATATTCCAGCAAGGGTCCACTGCCTTTAATAGCATGTCGCTAGTACTTGGATAGTTAACACTAACTTATGGAGTAGTGTGTGCTTCGGTCCATAGGAACTCATGGTTTTATCCACAAACGGGGTGAGTTTATATATAGATGGTGACTAAGATGGAAAGTTGGTTGTCGAGCATTTTGTGGAAGTTTGCACTTGGAAGTGTTTCTTATACAAATAAAGTTTAAATTTGCACTGTCTGATCCAATGAGGTAAAATAAATGGGTACCATGCTGCAACAATTAAAGCTAGCTCCATATGATCCACATGCAACTAACCATCAACATTACTATTCCCAGCAGGTGGATTCAAAGCAGTAAAAACAGCCGGTGATTCCTTTTCCACGAGACCTATAACGACCATAAGATCCGGTGGTTCCATATCAGCCGCCTGGCAGCCACTGCCCTCAAATAGAATTTGCTCCGCCTGCCCCTCTTGCTCCTCTTGCGTGCAAGCCTTCTTATGCGGCTATGGTGACGAAACCTATTAAGGCGGCTTCTCAAGTCAAGACTTTCTTTGACATCAATGATGTGGTTATCCAAGAGGGTGATGTGGTAAATAGAAACAACTCTTACCCTATCATCCATTCTCGAATAGGGTTCATGATGCCATCAACGAGAATATGATGTTGTCGGTTATTGTCCCGCTATTGGCTAAATCAATCGGCTACCGTGTGTTGCAAAATAAAATTTAGGTTTTTTGGTAGCCTAAAGGTAATCTTCAACTGATCGACCTTGACAAGGGTTATTTCTTGGTAAAGCTGGATTGTGAAAGTGACAATAATAGGATTTTGACTGAGGGTCCTTGGGTAGTGTTTGGGAGTTATCTTACGGTCCAACCAAAGAGTCGGACTTTTTCTACATCGGAGGATCATCCGTGGCAGGTCGTTGTTTAGATTCGCCTCCCGGGTCTCCCGTACTGTCACTACAAAAAGTGGTTGTTTAGTTTGATTGCTGCAAAGATCGGCAGAGTTGTTAAGGTGGACTATAATACTAATGTGGGGGAGAGAGAAAAGTTTGCTCAGTTGACAATCGTGGTGGATTAAAATAAGTCATTCCTCCCGTGTATTGACATCGATAATTTTGTTCAACAAATCGAATATGAGAGACTGCATCATATTTGTTTCAAATGTGGTGTTTATGGTCGCTTTCAGGATGATTGCGACAAACAGGCCGGTGAATAGAATGTTGTTAAGGTTGCTAAGCCTATTTAGAATTCTGGATCAGCTCCGTTGTCGGGTGGTGCTCGTGAGAATTTTTATTTGCCTTGGATGGTCGCCTCTAATCGGCATCATCATATGAAGAAGAGCACGGGTGAAGGTGATACCTCTATGGTTGCTGCAGAACAGAATCGTAAGTCACAATTTAAAGTTCTCCAAAATCGTTAAGATGAAGAGGTTTCGGGTGTTGCAAACCAGAATAGTGGGGAGTTAGCCAATGTGGTACCTACAGATAATGTGCAGGACCTTCCTAACAAGGGTAAAGCAACTATGGTGGTCAAGAAAGTGGAAGTGGGTCTGGTTAATCAGAGGGAGGCCATAAGATATGGGGTTTGTCTAGCGCCTCACCTAAGTGTACTTCTAGCAGGGGTGGTTTGAATGAAATCTGGGATCGTTTAGTGATGTTCGTGTTCGAGTGGAGTCCTCAAGACCAGGCGGAGTGGCAAAACTGAGGATTCACGACCCTGCCATTCAGACAGGGAGTCACTCGACAGTTTATATTGTTGAACCAGGGAAGGATAATCAAGTTCCTCATCGTAGTCGTGGTGATATGGGGAAATTGGGGCATCACAAAGGTGGTCGAGATGAGACTTTTAAGGGATTGAAGGTCAAAAAACCAACTGCGTATAAACCTCCGAACTGGCCCCTTCTCACTGATTGGGTGCAATCGGCAACGGCGAAGTTGAATGCTCAACTGTGTCGTGTGGAACCTTCGCTACTAAAAGTGATAGATCCACTGGGAGGAGAGAACATTAATGCTTCGTTTCAAATGTAGGATGATGCGTCAGTTTCAATTTCTGGTGATCGAGTCCAAGAGGACCATCTTTCTTAATTCTGTTTTAATGATTGATTGTTTATTTTGAAACAGTCAGGGCGTTGCTAGCCCTTTTTATCGTAGTCATTTTAAGAGGATAATGCACGACTTTAAGACTGGTTGTGTGGCGTTTTGGAGACCAAGGTAAGCGGTGCAAATGCTGATGGGGTTATCCGAAAAGTTGGTTTTCCAAATTCTTTCTGTGTTGAAAACCAAGGATTTAGTGGAGGGATTTGGTTACTCTGGTTGGAGGATGTTCAGGTTTCAGTTATTTCTATTTCAAACCAGTTTGTTCACTCCATGTTTAAAGTGGTGGGTGAGGATAGATCGTTGTTTATTACTACCATTTATGATAGCCCAAATATTTTGATCCGGAATAATCTCTTGGAGGCTCTTGAGAAGCTTAATCCGTTACTACTTGGGGGAGATTTTAGTTCTATTCTTCATCCGAATGAGCGCCAAGGGGGAGCAATTAATCGGGATGGTACGAGTAGGGGTTTCGCTGATTTTATCTTTGATTCTGCGTTGATTGAGGTTGCCTTACTTGGGCGAGGGGGTCTCTTTATCAATGCCTGGACAGGTGTTTAGGGAATTCTCAGTGGTTTGTTTGTTATGCTGAGTCATTCGAGTGGTATTTGGATCGTTTGTAACCCCACAGACCGATAAGTGTAACCAGATCCGATCCGAGGTGTCACATTTAGGCCACCGAAGCGACTCACTGTAAAAATAATGGAAAATTTAAAACTTTTATTGGAACGTGTAACTTATAAAATCAGTTGTCACTATTTAAAAATAAAACAAATTTCCAGACTCGTATATAAATCAAAATACAATTACATGCACCCTAATCACATGTACCATACTCTGCAACAACGCCGGAAGAACTCCCTTACTGAAGTCAATAGATGCACTGGTACAATTCTTTTAACCTGAAAAGGTGAGTAATAAAGTGAGCTTCGAAAAGCTCAGTAATACAGAACTACCAGATGATGCTGAAGAACGTGCAGATACAGATAAGCATACATATCCTTATTATTTACGAACATTTACAGATTTTCATGCTGAGCAGAGATCCTACTGATATTTCAGATGGTAACGGACAATGAGCTTTCAGTTTAGACAAATATTTCAGATGATTGAGTTCAGGAGATCAAAATAGGTTATCTAGTGTGTTCCCATAAAACCAGTAAAAAGATACAGATCTTTTAAAACATATATATATATACCCCCATCCGTCACGTACAAAATGTATAGGTTCCCCAGAACCATACAACCCCGTCACGTCCAGTAAGGCCTTGAGCACACAGCCGAGGAACCGGTAAGTAAGGCCCTGAGCACACAGCCAAGGAACCTCCAGGTATTCTTCCTCCAACATTAACCCCCCCAAATAAAACATGTTCCGTCCGTAAACAAATATATCAAAAATAAAATCATAATTCACGTCAAGTATCATATCAAAATCCAGGTCATGTATCAGATCAGAATCCAAGTCAAGTATCAGATCAGAATCCATGTCAGATATCAGATCAGAATCCATGTCAAGTATCAGATCAGAAATCAAATCCAAAATCATGTAAAATATTCATATGAGTAGGGAACACACCAGAATTTACAGATAGTAT